CTTCTTGCTTCTTTTATTTCCCTTTGAGCAGTGAGTATGCATTTCTGCTCAGCTTTTGAATCCATTCAGCAGTAAATATTCCATACCACAGAGTTGTAACAGGCTAGATAAGGTGCTATCCTGACAGCAGTCAACTTCACTGCACAGAATTTCTATGGTGCTTCTAAAACTGTCAGGGCAGAAACCTGGTCTTCAGAAGGCAATCTCTGTTTCATCTTTGTGTGTGCTCACTGAAGCAGTACTGATGCTTTTCTTGGAGATGAGCCATTGTTGTATCTTAGATCTGCATTTGAAAATTTCACTTTCAAATCATAAGACCATGTGTCTAAAGTAGAATGTCAAATTGAACAGTGTCCGAGAAATTCCAAGGGAAGAACAGAGAAAATGGAATTTGGCATCATTCTCTTGGACCTGGGTCCATCCTTTCTAGAGGACAGCAGAGAAGCTGGAGAGTACAGTATGTCCTGCAGAGTTAGAAGATCAGGTTGTGGAGAAAAATGTGAAAAAGGAAGAATCACCAGAGGCACTTCTGGCCTGGTGAGAGAAACTTAATTTTGCCCAGCTCCATTCTTAAGCCTTTCTGTCACTCATCTTTAATACCGTCCTTTGTTCTCTGGACAAGACTGCAATCCGTACCTGCACACAACACATCGCACAATGTGGAAAGAGCTCAGAAAAAGCATGGGCCATTGGTTTGAATCCCAGTGCTGCCACTCCCTAACCTTGAGAGGTGGCCCTGCCTGAGCTGGTTTCCTCAGCCCCACCAAGTCAGAACTTCTGTCTGGGTGAGGTCACTGGGTACCTGGCACAGAAGCAGCCTTTGGGAACACAAGCTGCTTTTCTTCAGTGGGTGAGTGATGGAATGGTGGGAGCAGGGGTTATTATTTACATAGTAATCAATCAGTACACAGGCTAAATAAGCAAAGTACACTCCCATACTCCTTCCTAATGTTCTTGTTAGTGATACAATATTCAGCTGTTCTGTTGCAAGCTGGCCATGTTGACTTTTTGGTCCCATTATTTTCTATGCTTGGAATGTTCTTAGCCCATGAGGTTTGTTCAGATTCCATCTTGAAGGTTCCATTCCTTTGAACTTTTCTGAGTTGCTTGACAGATCTAGTCCAGCATTCTGCTAGGCTCCCACAGTACTTAGTGCAATTAAGAAATCCTGTGTAATCACTAGTTAGTGCCTGTTTTCAGAACTAACTGTTCCTATTAGTTAACCTTCTATAACTGTAAGCTCCATGATTATGTATGCTTTACCTGTCTTTGCTGTCCTGGCCTATCATACAATACCTGGCCCAGTTAGGTTTCTAGAAATCTTTACTGGGTGAATGAATAAATGAATCCACTCAGGATCCCATGTTTGCAACATCTAGAGGCTTCCTTCCTTCTCTTTTCCCCCTGCCTTTCTCCTCCTGAGTACCCCCTCAGATAGGCTGACCTTGTGGCCTTCTAGCTCTGCATTCTATCTGCCTGGCAGTCTCTCAGTGCTTTAAACCAGTGTGTCCAACATGTGGCTGTTTGCATTTCTTATTCATGACATTTTCTTGTGTGGTGCTGACTGGCAGTCTGCAGCCCGTCATAGCTAACGTCTCTGGCCAGCATTCACGGCTCCCATCAGCTAGCCCTCCAAGGCACTCTCGACCATTTCCTGGCGTCTCCTCTTCTACCCCTATTATGTAGCACACCCAATTCATTAAATAGTTTTGAGCCTCTGCCTGCACTTTTAAAATTCTCTTTAGCAAATGCTTTCCTAGAGCCTACTAAGCAAAAACGTCCTATGCAAAGTGCTTTCTTTCTAGGGCACAGAAATCAGTGAAACACAACCCTTGGCTTTCAGGAAACCCACACTGGGAAGAGACACACTGCTGGCTCACTGTGACTCACCAGCGCAAGGCCCGCCATGGGCAATGCCATAATAGAGGTGCAAATCCAGGTTGTTGGATTTCAGGGACCAAAAATTCATACCTACTTGGGGATGTCAGAAAAACTTCTGGAAGCAGGATCACATTTGAGACTTTCAATATGTTTTGATGGCAAATGGGGAGTACCAACATTAAAAGCAAAAAAGTAAAGCCAGGAAAAGGACCCATTTGTACCAGGGCAGGGGGCACTAGTGAGCAGGAAATATGAGCTACATGAAGCATGTTCCCCCGAGGGCTTAGACAAATGGGGGACATTCCCGCAGGACATTCATTCCGCTGTCTGCCCATCATGGGCTTTGAGACCTCACCCAAAAAGGTATCCATTCTTACAGGATACCTTAACATTTCATCAGCCCTAGACAGTACCTACTACATGTAATTATTTTTTAACTTGTAGATATACTACATCCATTTACCTCTGATTATTTCCTATGTCTCTGTGACCTCCTTAGATGAATAGCTCCTGAGTGACCAAAACCAGGACTTCCCCTTTGCCTTCTCTCCCTTTTTCTAATTTTTTTTTCCTTCTGCCTTAGCTCAGTACTTAGGAAGGTGTCCTTTCCTCAAGGATGTTAGTAGGGCTAGGGGTCTGCATGCTTCACTGTTACCCATTTCTACATCAGAGATGAATTAGACAAAAGTCTTGCACCCAGGAGAGTCCACATTATGATAACTACTACTTATATAATTATGAACAATTTCACCTCTATGTGCCTGTTTTCTAATTCATACAATGGGATTAATAATCCCTTCACCGTCCTCTTTAAATTTGCTAATGAGAACATGTATATGTAGTAACACTTTAAATTCTATAGCACTGTAGAAATATAAGGTTTTAATGCCAAATGCTTTTTGCATGAGTGAAAGTCAGGAGTGATTTTCCTTCCTGTGCCTCAACTTCTGAGCACGTACGTGTTCTGGAGCAGGAGGTTACAGTTAAAACTAAGTCAATGAGAAACTAAAGAGCCTTTCTCTCTTAAACTCCTCAGACCCCAGGCCAATGCTCCATGACTACCTCTTAAACATTAGCATGATTACCAGATTATTAAGGAATTTGCTACTAAATGAAGCTAAGAATTAGTGGTGGTAATTGGTCAGACAAGGCAGGCCCTGGCATTCTGCAGCCTTCTTTGTCCTGTAGACAGCCTTTAGGGGCGAGATGAAAAGTGGCCTTGTGTTGCTCCAGGCAGGCCCCCTGGGCAAATAAAGAAGTGTATTATCTGCATCTGAGTAGTCTCCGAAGGGTTCTTGCTGGAGATTGACGACCCCAGTGCTAAGCCTTTCTTGTTCAAGAGAGTAAAAAGCAGTGTCCCAAGGGCTCCATCAGTGACAGGAACCCAAGTTGTCAGAGGGAACCATAGCCATAAAAATACCAGTGAAATTGAGAAATAGCTCGTTGTCGTCAGAAGCACGAGCTAAGCACCTGCCATCTTAGGCCTGCGTGTGAGTCATGCAGACTGAGGTGTGTTCCCCCAGTTCTCTCCTGAGACCTCTCAGCCCAAAGCAGAGTTGTCTTTTTTCTCTTAATCACCTCACAGAAATTTACTGAGTGAGGGATCAAATCAAATTCAGGCTCCACCTGAGCTCACAGTCCACCCTCCTGAAATGGTCAAGGGAAGTAAATGCTGACCAGGTCAGTGTGACTGTTTGTGAAAGGAGAGGTCTTGTGATAGACTGACTGCCTGAGGTTCACTCAGGAATGCTGGGAGGAGCAGCACTGGGCTTTAATAATTGTGGTGGAAGTAACTTAAAGGTGGAGTGGACCCGAGAGACCGGCCGGAGTTCCTGGGCAGGAAGGCAGCAAGGGCACAGGCATGGAGGAGATGAGCTGTCCGGCAGAAGTGTTGCTGGCCACTAGGTGAGGGTGGTGGGAAACAAAACTGTCCTAAAACTGCCATGATGATTGTGCAACTCTAAATACTCTAAAGGCCATTAAATTATACAGTTTAAGTGGGTGAACTGTGTGATATGTAAGTTCTATCTCTGTAAAACTGTTTTTAAAAAAGAATCCACTAGAGAGGTAGGGTCAAGTCTGAGGTTACAGATTCGGAAGAGATGCTTTGATGTAGAGGACTGTTGGACTCGTGAAATACAATAGAAAAGTTGGGGCATTTTGCACCCAACAAAACCAGAGCAAAGGGATGTGTGTACAGTAGCATAGTGCCCATCGGGCTCAGCTGGGCTCCAAGACAGAGTCATAGAGAAAGGGACCCTTTCTTTCTTCCCCACGTTCCTGCCCCTTGAAAGGGAAGGGGTTAAGTGGATCTGGTAGGAGGTTATTTATGGAGAAAAGACTGAGGCGTAAAGAATGTAGGTCAGGAGGCTAGTTTCCCAGGAGTAGAGAGAAGAGCGGTCACTGTGGGAGGCAGTGGGCACCGGAACATGGTTACGTAGCAGAACTAGGCTCTACGGCAGAAGAGGGGGGTTATAGTTCACCATTTACTATGTATTTTATAAAGAACTAGACAACAGCTCAGAGGTTCCCAGGACAAAGGAGATGGAAATGGTAATTACTCTCACTTGGTCATTTTACTTTGTGTACGTGTATCAAATTACCACACTGTACTCCATAAGTGTGTGCAATTCATATGTGTCAACTGAGTATTTATTAAAATAAAGACTAGAAGCAATACATAGTTTTAAGTTTTTGTCCCTTTGGCATGCTTTTTTAGGTTAAGTATGTGGGTGAGATCATGAAATAGGAAGAAAAAAGGCTTTAAATCTGACTCTCGGGTCCTTTCTAGTCCATTCAAAGCGAGGAGACCACGCTGGATGGGGTGGCACAAGCCTGTAATCCCAACACTGAGAGGCTAAGGCAGCAGGATCATGAGTTCAAGACCAGCCTAAGCTACATAGCAACACCTTATTATTCTCCCCAAAATTGAGGTCCGCAAGATGAAAGAAACTTCTCCTCCTTAAAAGAATGAAGAGACAAGAAAGTTCCTTTTGCATCATGGAAGAGGGATGCAAATCAGGAGGAGGAGGTTTTCTTCCAGTGTTGTGGCCAGACGAGAAATTAGTTCTTTGCCTCCATTCACTGTGTGGCTTATGTCCCCTAATGTTTGTTTGCAGGACATAGTACGGCGTGGAGAGATCATAGACAATGACTTGGAGGATGAGTTCTACCTCCGGCGCCTGGATGCAGGGCTCTTTGTTCTCCAGCACATCTGCTACATCATGGCAGAGATCTGCAATGCCAACGTCCCCCAGGTATGAGGGGCTTCCCCATGGACCTTTCTATCCCTGCCGCCGTCCCGGCCACCTGCTTGTGTAGACTCTCAAGGAAAGAAATGAGTCACACTTTCTGGAATTTCCTCACTTTGTGGGCCCACTTTTTTAGGAGTGGGACGAGGTGAATCAAGAAGCTGTATCCTGGTGTCTGTCAAAACAAATGTTCCCTTTTCATTCTCTCCATTCTTTCCCTTTGTTAGATTCGCCAGAGAGTTCACCAGATCCTAAACATGCGTGGAAGCTCCATCAAAATTGTCAGGCATATCATCAAGGGTGAGTTAGGTGATGCTTGTGTCTGCAGCTTCAGGAGTTGCAGGGTGCTTCCTGCTGAGTCTGTCAGCCTCTGGTGTCTGGTGTGCTAGAGATGCATGAAAAACCCAGGTGTGTCTTTCAGTTCACTGTGTGTCCACATCGCCTTTTTGAGAATACCGAAGGCCACCTAGTTATCCTCTGCCTCTGACCCCCCACTACTAGAATTTAAATAAGAAGCATGCAGGCTTAAAAATATCTGTTAAAAATGAAAAAAGGGGAAAACAATCCAGCTTCTGACTGCATATAGTACAAGGAAAGGAAACAAGGACGTGACAAGCAATAAGTGGAATTATGGAAGCGGGAGAGGCCTGAACCTGACGCAGTGCTGTAGTAGAAAGAGCGCCCTGTTCTCCAGGGCTTGCCCTGCATCCCTCAGCTGTGTGAGCATGATCAGGTTCATTGATCTGCCTGTGAAAAAGAAGAAATCATGCAAAGGTTATGGGAGGTGCTGCTTGGAAATGGTGAGGGGGCTTGTTTTTTCCCTCCTTCCCCGCCCACCGCATGGAGTTCCCCCAAATGCTCTTGGATCTTTGGCTGGCGCTGCCTCAGCTAGAGTGGCTCAGGAGGTCTCCAGTAGGGAAGCAAGCGTCAGCCCTGAGGCAGGGCTTGTGTGCTGAGCTCTGGGAAACGGCCCTGCTCTCAGGCCGCTTAGGCACAGAATAATACACATGGTATGGACCTCTGTGATGGCCAGTATAGTCCTGGGTACCCCAAAGTTCAGAGACTCAAGATGGGCTGGGCAACCACAGACAGATCCATTTGCCTCCCTGGTCTGTGTTTTGTTCATTTCAGCGTTCACTCGTCAATCACCTGTAGTTCCCTTGCAGCTGTGAGAAGAAAGGTGAAGGTAAATCATACATAAAACAAAGTGAAGTAGGGGTCTGGGGAGGCTCCAAGTCTGTATCCTGCTCTCCCTTTATTGTGGCCTCAGGCAGGAGACCCAGGTGCTCTGTGGCTCACAGAATGGCCCACGGAGTTAAATGAGATGGTTGAGATAGTACACAGGAAACAGTCCAGTAATGCTAGTTACTGTGTTCAGAAATATTGTGACGATCACCTTCATCATTATTATCAGTGAGGCACAGCTAAAGTCCTGTGGGAAGTCTTGCACAGGAAGTGACACTGAGCTGGTCTGCATGGCAGTGACAGGGCGATTCCAGTAGGGAACAGTGTAAGTGCAGGCTCAGATGGAAATCAGCTGCCCAGGATAGCCCTTCTGGGCAGGGCTGTGGCATCCTTGTGCCCATTTCTTAGATGGAGAATATAAGGCCTTGGAATCTGCTATTTTCTCCTGCAAGAAAGGGGAGTGTAAAGGGGACCTAGGGACCTTGGCCCTGCATCCTCCCTCCCTGGCCGTTCCCCTTGTAGTCTGTGATAGATCCACAGGAATTTTGCTAGCGTGCCATTCCTCCACCTCCCTAAGGTGTGGCTGCAGTGATGTGCAGCTCCAGCCTTTAAATGGCATTTACTTCCAACGCCCACATGTTCAATTAGAACTTTTTATTGCTCGCATCTCTGCTGTCTTCCTTTTAAGCTTTCCCTACGCCTCTATCCTGGTAATCAAAACAGTGATCTTCCAAGAAGGAGAGTGTCTTTAGCAGGTGCTGACGCATAGTAGGTGGGTGTTTTCTTTTTCAAACCCTGCCTTGCATACCTGCAGGTGTTTAGAGCTCCCTGGTGTGGGGAGCTGACTCTGGTAGCTGCAGGGGGGCGGGTGGGGAGATGGGTTTTTGATGACCTGGGTCTGGGCAGGGGTGCTGCCTCCGTGCTCCTCCTTTGCCTCTGTGCAGACTTCATAGCGGTCCTGCCCACTTGTGTCCAGCCCTAGTTTTCTCCCTTCACTCTTTGAGGCTGGTCCTTCAGCGAGTCCTGCCACCCTCCTCCAAACTCCATTTGAAGCGTTCTGCTCTTCTCCATCCGCTAGTCCTATCCTAGCACACTCTTTATTTCCTTCTGAACCCTTATCACAATCTGTAATCATTTTTATTTATGCATTTGTTTACTCATTTGGTCTCTCATACATTAAAATGTAAGCTCCCTGACATAGGAACATTGTCTGCCTTGATCACATCTCCTCAGTTCCTAGAGCAGTCAGGCTTATAATGGAGCCAATAAATGTTTTAAACATTATTGAATTAAACTTCTTCTTGTATGAGTTTAACTTGGCAGATGTTTCTTGAGACTGCTCAGGGCTGGCCAGGTGTGCTGCCAGGTCCTGGGCTTCACAGGCATCACTGGCACCTGCCTACATGGAGTTACAGTCGTCTGGGGACATGGCTATATCTTTGGCCCATCATCATTGAGGCAGAATGGAGTGCACAGCCCAGTGACCATTCAGCTGGCCTTGCTCAGGGCCAGGGTCAGCACCCTGTGCTTGAGATTCTGGGATGACTGAGATCCCCATCCTTGCTGCATTCACAGCCTACTTATTACAACATGTTAAGTGCCCGGTTAGAGTTGTAAACGGTGTGCCCAAGGCATCAGGCAGGCAACAGTGGAGGTAGAGGGAGTGGCTAGGGTGGCGACCCAGAGGAGGGCTGTTTGAGAGAGAAGCACATCACAGGCAGAAGATCAGAGGCCTGCAAGCAGACAAGAGTCAGTGGCCTTGACGGAGGTGGGACATGGCTGGGTAGGGTACAAGTGTTGCCAGGCAGGGCTTGTGAGTTTTTTTGAGATGCATAGTGAGTTTAGGGTACAGTAGTGACCTGGATTCTTTTGTTGACCAGCACCCGGTGAACATTCTCCTAGGAGAGATACTAGTTTGGGGCACTGGAAGTTGTTGATGTGGAGGTGGAATTCAAGTCAGGAAATAGAATGCCATTGCTCAGGTAGCTGTTGCCTTCAATGTGAAAGAGAATTCTGCACAGATGGAGGCTTAACATAAAAGATTCTTGCGTCCTCCTGTTGACACAGCCCTGCCCTGACTCACCAGAAGAAACTGGAGCCTATGCAGAGTGGCTGCCTCTGAGAGCAGCCCTGGAACATAGCACAGTAAGGACCCTTAGAGACCAATGGATCCCTTGCCTAGGGGTAACAGTGTCAAGATCAGAGGGGTGAGGCTGGGACAGGGTTGGAGCTGGGCTCTGCAGGTCCTCTTAGAAATCCATCTGCTCTTTCTCCTCCCCCACCCTGCCATCAGACAGCCTGAAAAAACAAAGCCTCATAAAACAACCAGCTCATCAGCCTGTCGTCTTTGATTTTAATTCTGTTTTTCAGTTTGGGTTGCTTCCCTTTTTAATTTTTTTTTTAACACTAATTTGATGCAAGCTTTTTTCTTTGATTTTATGGCCTACATATTTCCTAAGTTTTGCGGCAAAATGACAGCTGATGTATCCCTTGAGGTCTCAGGAAAACGCTGATGAGGCAAGCCCAGCAGGGGACTTTTCCCAGGGTTCTCAGTCCCTTTTCTCCTGGTTTTCCTCCCTCCTTTACTGTTGGGGGTGCCAAGAGAGAGCAGGAAATAATTGACGGCTCATTAAAGTCCCCCTTTCCTCACACTGCTTATTTGCAGTCTTCCCCAGAGCAGGCAGCTGGTGTGGGCCTGAGGACCAGGGCCTCTCATCAGAACCAGGGTCCAGGGACGGAGAAATCCACGCAGAGAAGGGCAGTTCAGACCAGAGGCTCTGCTGCATGGACAGCGCTGTCATAGGTTTGCTTCCCTGGTGCCTGGCACTGAGCCACGTGCATCTCTCCAGAGCAGGGAGCAGGCCAAGGTGGGCCCCAGGCTTCTCTGCGTTAGTCCTGAAATCTAGGACCTCTCCGGTAGAGTGCTCCCTCGCTGAGCACCTGCTGTGTGCCAGGCTTTTCATGTCCATTATTTCTGATCCCCAGCGACCCTAGATAGCAGGATGATCTCCATTTTGCAGATAAAAAAATAGAGACTCCCTGAAGTGAAGAGGCATCACCCATACCGCTAGTGGTGTTGGAAACCAGGTTCAGATGCAGACAGAACTATATATACACAGTGGAACTTTCCTGTCTTGTAGAAAAGAAAGCTCCAGCTGTGCCTGTCAACTCATCTACATCTATAGGCTCTAAAGAAGGAAAGGAGAATCCAAGGCATCCACCTTCGTAGAACACACAGTAGCACCACAGGGGCCTAGTGAACTCCTGAGGTGAATGAGGCACACTCAGGAGACTGTCCCCAAGGGACTAAACCGTCCCCTCATATGAGTTGAGCTAAGAAGAACTGGAACCCCAGGGAGGCTGGGCAGAAGAGGGGGCTGTCTTTTCATTATTTTAGTTATGGTAACATATATTACATGAAAGTCACCATTTTAACCATTGTGGCCATCACCACTGTCTATTTGTAGAATTTTTTCATCTTGTAAAACTGAAATTCCAGACCTGTTAGCACCAACTCGCTGTTTCCCACTCCCTGCATTTCCTGGCAGCCTGTTTGATTTGTTGTCTCTCTGCTTTTAACGACCTGAAGGAAGGAGGTGGCTTCATGAGGCCCGTGAATGATGCCATAGGTGGATGTGAACATTCGTAAGTGAGTGCCATCTCCTTGGATGTGGCGTAGCAACTATGGCACGGGAGCATTTCTTAGGACATACAGTTGTGCCTCGGGTTATGACAGAAACCCCTCACCAGTCTCCTAAATGTGTCTGTTGGTGACAGTTGTCAGAAGTCCACGCAGGTGCCAGCGAGCAGTCCAGGCATTTGCAGAGGAAATCATGGAGGGTCACTGGCTCAAACCTCTTTCAGTGGAAGGTGAAAAGAAGAGCCATGACTTTCCAGTGCTTTCAGAAACAGGCCGTGGCTTTTTGATGTGCTTGTATTCTTTATGGCTTCAAATCTCTTGGAAACCTATAAACATATATTTCCGTAGTGCTGTGGGGCTCTTGGTAACCCCAGCCTTGCCTCTGATTTTAAAGCTACAGAAGCTGAGAGAATTGATCTTTTACTAACTTGATGGGGTATGTGTGCCTTGCACCCAAACACTGGCCACAGGTCTT